TCTGGAAAGGCATCCATCAACCCGGAACCATCAGCCAAAAGAAGCGAAGCGAAGATGCGCCAATTCTCCCGTGCCTTGAAAGGCTGTTGGCCTGCAGTAAGCTTGAACCCCAGTAGTACCATGAGGGGTTTAGGGTTTAGGGTTTAGGGTTTAGGGTTTGGGGTTTAGGGTTTAGGGTTTAGGGTTTAGGGTTTAGGGCGAGCCCTTACTGTTTTTTTTGGAGTTGTTTAGCGGCTCAGGGCGGAAATATTTCAGGACCCCAGTGGGCTCTGGGTTTTATAGTTGCACCCCAAGCCCTATACGGAATCAGCCCTCAACTCTAAGAGCCCTAAGAGCCTCGGAGCCTTCTCCAAAACCCTCAACCCCTGGATGGTCCGAAGCGACAGCATGCCTAAACTCCTAACAAAACCCTAAACAACCCTAAGGCCCTAAACCCCCAGAATCCCCTAGAATCTCCCAAAAAAACCCTTGTGAAAAAATATCACCCTAAACAACCCTAAACCCCCATAATCCCCTAGAATCTCCCAAAAAAAACCCTTGTGAAAAAAGATCACCCAAAAGCGAGCAAGAAGGAGGGGCGACTCACCGAAGCCGCTCGCTACAACATCTGCCCCATCACCTTCGTGGTGCCGCAGGAGAAGGGTGTAGGGTTTCGGGTTTAGGGTGTTTTAGGGTTTTTAGGTTTTGTTGGGGTTTTTAGGTTTTTTAGGGTTTTTGGGGGGTTTTGAGTGTTTTTAGGGTTTTTAGGGTTTTTAGGGCTTTTAGGGTTTTTAGGGTTCAGGGTTTAGGGGTTTGAAGGTTGGGATGTTCCCCCCTTCAACAAACAGCCCTTAATAGGGATTCTCGTAGGGGGCACGAGGGTCCCTATTAAGGACTGTTAGCATAAAGGGCGAGCTGCCCAAGTCGAAGGGCTTACAGGGGCTTTAGGGATTTAGGGTTTCGGGTGGGCTTTTAGGGCATGAGGGCTTTATGGTCTTAGGGTTTTTAGGGTTGTAGGGGTTTTAGGGTTTTAGGGTTTTAGGGCTTTAGGGTTTTAGGGTTTTAGGGTCACTTTGCAAGGCGGAGCCTGCCATAGGTTGTCGTCTCATGGCTGCAACTCGGAACTTTCCTGCGCAGGAGTACAGCATGTTTGTGGAGGAGTTCAAGAAGTGGATGCTTGACTCAATGGTTTGTCGCTCTGTCCCGCTTTTCGGCTTTTCGGGGGGAAGTTGCTCCTTAGGGTTTAGGGCTTAAGGTTTAGGGTTCAGGGTTTGCCAAGGTTCCACGCACACCACCAAGCGAGACGTGTGTTGTGGTGTGACGCGCTCTCCCAACCCACCCACCCACATCTCAACCTTGGGCGGTTTAGGGTTTTATAATGTCGTGTGTATGCAGTGGGAGGGGGCGCTACGGGCTGACCAAATCCTGGGGTACCCCCTAGCGAAGGCCTCCCTGTAGACCCCCTGAAGAAGTGCTCTTGATGGCAAACTTTCCCTCTCAAGGGGGGTCGGAGTTTTAAGCAAAGGTGGGTCTCCAAATACTATTTTGCTTTGAAAATCGAGAATCCCCTGGAAGGCCTTCCCTAAGCTTGTTTTCGAACCGTTCGAAAGGGTCTTTACAAGGCGGTTGGAAGCTCTCAAAGGATTAGGAAGCACGTTTACCCTTTGAAAAGTATTCCGTAAGCCCCAAAATCTGGAAATTAAGGGGGAATTGCTGCCATCCAATTCCTTGTATAAAACCCTAAACCCTATACCCTAAACCCTAAACCCTACCCCGTAGCCCTAAACCCTAAACCCTAAACCCTAAACCCCAAACCCTAAACCCTAAACCCTAAACCCTAAACCCTAAACCCTAAACCCTAAACCCTAAACCCTAAACCCTAAACCCTAAACCCTAAACCCTAAACCCTAAACCCTAAACCCTAAACCCTAAACCCTACCCCGTAGCCCTAAACCCTAAACCCTAAACCCTAAACCCTAAACCCTAAACCCTAAACCCTAAACCCTAAACCCCTCCCGCGTTGCCCAGGACCGGGTCCACCTGGATCATGAAGCCCATCGGCCGATCCCAGGGCTCTGGCATCTTCCTGGTGACCCCTGGGCTGCCAATGTTCGTGTTTTAGGGGGGTTAAGGGGTTAAGGAGTTAAGGGGTTTAGGGTTTAGGGTTTAGGCTTGGGGTTTAGGGTTTAGGGTTTAGTTTTTGTTTGAGTGGAGGTTTGAGAGTTTAGGGGTTTGAGGGTTTGGGGTAGGAGGGGTTGGAGTTTAGGGACTCAAGGGTTCACATGTAGGGCAGGGGTTTAGGGTTTCAGGGTTTAGGCATCTAGTGCTCATGGTTTTCGGGGTTGCGGGGGGTAGGGGTTAGCTTTGAGAAGACTTCGGTGGCGAGCTCACGGGTCAGGTCTTGGAGTTTCAGGGGGGCTGCTGAATTAGTGGGCGAGCAGGTAAGCCCCTTCAAGGGGGTTGGGGGGTGAGGGGGAAGAATCCCTATGTCACAAAGGTTATAGCCGTTAGCTCCCATAGGAACCTGGTCAAGTTAGGGTGTTGAGGAAGTAACCAAGAAGCACAGGGGGGGGGGGGCTGTCGCTTCTTCGGCTCTGGATTCTGGATGTGTGGGGAGGTCGAGGAGTTTGGACGCATGCTTCCGAAACCCCAAAAATGAGAGACAGCTCGAGAGCCGAGGAACAAGCTCGCACAAACGCAGCAGTGGAAGCCAAAGCAGGCAGGGCCCAGAAGTCAAAAGGGTTTTGGGCTCGGTGAAGAGTGCTGAGGTGTACCTGTCTCTGGTGTAGGTGTGTAGGTGTGCAGGTGTGCAGGTGTGCAGGTGTGCAGGTGTGCAGGTGTGCAGGTGTGCAGGTGTGCAGGTGTGTAGGTGTGTAGGTGTGTAGGTGTGTAGGTGTGTAGGTGTGTAGCTGTGTAAGGGTGTAGGGGTGTAGGGGTGTAGGGGTGTAGGGGTGTAGGGGTGTAGGGGTGTAGGGGTGTAGGGGTGTAGGTGTAGGTGTAGGTGTGTGTGTGTGTGTGTATCGCGCCAAATAGTTGCAGTTTTTTCAAGTCTTACATATTAATACACTCGACAAAGACCCTAAGAGGCACAAGCGTCAGATGGAGAGGGCTTCTTTGGTGTCAGTGGACAGATGCGTCAGCCTAAACACTAAACCCAACCGTCCTTTTCCTCCGGGCCGTGATCAGTGTCACAGTCCTGTCCATCCCTTCTTCATCCCTGAAAGGACTGGAACCAGGCGCAGCAACCAAAGGCTTCAGAGGACATGCAGGGACTTGGGGATTGGAAATCCGGAGTCGTACCGTTCTCAAGGAGAAAAGGGGTTGCAGTGTCAGGGTTTGGCTTAATTATGTTGGAAGATTTAGGGCCCACCTGAAACCCCGGACTTAGGATTTAGGATCTTGGGTTCGGATTTCCTAGGGTTCAGAGTTTAGGCAATTCGACCCTGAGTCTCCAGGGTTTGGAGTTTGAGGTTTTAGGCTGTAGGGTTTAGGGCCTAGGGTTTTAGGGCTAGGATGCCCACTAGTACCCATATTCCCTTTTTGGGGAGGTTACTGGACAGCCGAGTAGGGTTTCTTAAGCCAAGCGAGTCGGAATTCTGACTAGTCTTGGCAAGCAGTGAGCAACATTTTTGGCAGGCACATGCATGTAATTGAGGCTGACCCGAAACTAAAGCAACCTAGAAACCGGAAGTTACTGGTGGCTTTGTGTGCTAAGCCCTAAACCCTAAACCCTAAACCCTAAACCCTAAACCCTAAACCCTAAACCCTAAACCCAGAAACCGGAAGTTACTGGTGGCTTTGTGTGCTGAGCACTAGTGCCGGCTGGAACCTCGGCCCGCACAGGACGATGAGAATGGTGTTGCTCCCAGGCCGCAGAAAGTCCGAGATTAGGGGTACCTTCTTGGGGTCCTTAGGATAGGGAATCATATTATTTGGTGGTCAAAATTGGGGGCCCCTGATTTTCGTAAACCGCCATTTCTGGTGTCGGCTACAGCGTCGGTCGCTTCCGAGACTCCCAGGGCACAGAATGCTACTTCTTCCACGTGCACAGCACGTTTTGCAGACGCGACTCAGTGGCTCAGGAAACCTATGTCGCGCAGCCGCCGAGCAGCAGAATACGCACAACAAGTCATGGGGATTGGGCCTGTTGCCCCAAACATTCCATGAACCCATATAGTATATACTTGGGCCCGAAATCTACCATATTGGGACCCCTCAAGGCCCCAGTATAGACTATAAAGGTACATGGACCCTTTGAGGTTGCCTGTTGGTGTGTGTTTTGAGCGTGGCTAGCAGATGTTAAGCTTCTTGTTCTGGGCCTGCCCAAAGAGCCCAATACCCCCTAATTAAGGAATATACCTTAAATCATACTAAGATCCCTTTATCATTTAAGGTATATGGCTTAATTAAGGGGTATTGGGCTCTCTGGGTGGGCACTCTGGATTTCGCGCTTTGCAGCTGGGTGCTTCGGGTCGCCCATGCCTGGGCTCCTGCTAAGGAGTTCGAAGCAATTTACCATTTTCACCTTATAAAGCACATATCGTATGTCTACAGATATATATATATATATATATTTATTTATTTTTTTTATTTGTTTGTTTATATAGAGAGAGAATATATGTGTGTGTATATATATATATGTATTCATCTACTATGAATTCTAAAAAGACCTAGCCTTCGTACGCGGCACCAGTAGCTTACTTCAGGTCCCTAGGGCTGAACACGAACCCAGACGAGCAGCCCGCAAGGAAGTACGTGGAAGCACCGCTGCTCATCGGCGGCAAGAAGTTTGTGCCCCATCCGCATTCCTGCAGGGTCCAATGTAGTACGTCACTGTACCTCTACGGTGCATACTTGAGCCCCTGAAGCTATATTATACTAACATAGGAACCCAAATAAGGCCCAACCATGGACTATGTAGGTACATGGAGCATTCTGATGCGTGGTTACTTAGGCCGCCACATCGTCACAGCAGCAAAAGTTTGACTGTCGAAATGGGCCAAAATAACCACCCTAAGGACATGCGGCTGTACGTTTGTGTCACGAGCTACCACCCCCTGACGGCCAGGCCCTCAGCACAATGGAGGGGCTTGGGGGTGTAGGCGTTTCAGGGCCTTCACAGTTCAGGGAGCTGCCAAGGTGTACATGCACCGCGGAGGCTTCTGCCGGTTCTCAATGTCTCGCTACTCATCGGACAAGAGCAACCTCAATGACCTCGGGTCTCACCTTACCAACGTGGCGGTCCAAATCTCAGCACTGTGAGGAGCGTGTCCCCGGAGCATGGCACATGCTTGTTTTCAAGATGTAAATGCTTCAAGCCACACCTGATTGAATGAATCGAAACCTCAAACTCCTAAGGTCCAGAAGCACAGCGGGAAGGCAGCTTACAAGCGAACCGGTGCCAAATGGGATGTGAACAACCTCAAGTCGTACCTGATGACAACTGCCAGATTCTCAGGAACAAGGTTCAAGGCTTCGGGTTCAGGGCTTAGGATTCAAGATCTCCGGCAATGCTATGTCCAGGTGTCCCCGTATTCCCCAAACCCTTGTGCGGCCACCCAGTCTCAAGCCCAAACCCACCCAAGGCAGAGCCTCAATCCCTGAAACACTGAACCTGAATTCCTCAACCCGAACAAAGGCATTAACTATTAACAGCAAAGCCCTAACACTGCAGAAGCAACGCTCCTATGTAGTACCTTTTCGGGTCATACATTGGAATCCCCTATAACAAACCCAAAGAGGAACTGCATTGCAGCCTTTGGGCAGAAGCAAGGCTGGCAAACCCTGTACCCCAAACCCCAAACCCTAAACCTAAACCCTAGAAGCAAGGCTGGCATAAATGTCGTCAACCAGCTCTTTCACGACATCGAGGGGATTGTCATCCATTCGCTGCTCTCAGTGCAGAAGGCCCCCTGGAAGCTTAAGGGTACTACCGTGGTGCAGGGTTTAGGGTTTAGGGTTTAGGGTTTGGGGTTTAGGGTTTAGGGTTTAGGGTAACTTCGGGATCAGGTTTTTTGGGCTTGTTTCAGGGATCAGGGTTTGCAGTGGAGGTCATGATCAATGACAAGCACTGCTTTGAGATGCGCCCTGGCAGCAGCTGTGAGTAACGTGCAGCAGCAATGCAAGAGCCAACGAGCTGACATTTTTAGCTCCTTTTATTTCTTTGTCTTTGGGGGGGGGGGGGGGGTTAGGGTGGGAGTTGGGGTGGGGCTTAGGGTTTAGGTTAGGGTTTACGGTGGGGGGATAGGGCAGCAACCACAAAACCTAGATCCTATTCCCAACCCTAAACTTCCTAAAGCCATTCAAAACCAGGACGTTGCCATAAAGACCAGGTTTTCCCCGGTCGCTCGTCGAACAGCCGAATTTTGGCCTACACTAACAAGTCTGATTCACAGATCGGCCAATCCGAAGAAGCTGGATTTAACCCTCTGGGTTTCTTAGGGACATTCTCATCAAACAGCCACGATTTACCTCGGAGAACTTTTCGGGCTGTTCGGTCCAACAGCCACGATTTACCCCAAAGGCCTGGTTGGGCCCAAACGGTCTATAGGGTTTAGGTTTCTGGGTTTCGAGTTTAGGGTCTAGGGATAAGGGGTTTAGGGTCCAGGGTGTCAACCCTGGTGAGGGCCCGAACCCGAACATTCAGGGTTTAGGTTTCGAGTCTGGGTCTAGGGTTTAGGTGTCCCGTCGGATGGCAGCCCGGCCGGCTCGGCCACACTGCAAAACTGTGTCCAGATCAAAAGCTGGCATGCTGCCCTCGTCTGGCACCCGGGCCGGTGACAAGCAAAACGATAGTCTTTCTTGAGAAGGCCAACATGTAGGCGCGTTTGAAGTGCAGTCCGTGACACGTTTGGCGCGCACACAGGGGGCGCCACTCACGCCCACTCACGCTTTTCTCATGGGAGAAAAGCTGGCTGCTGAAGAGGTGGGCTCCCTTCTAGCCGGAACCCACTCACGACTACTCATGGTTTCTCACGGCTTTGTTGGCTGTATGTGGGTATTTTGTGGTGTTACATTGGGGCTAATCGATGTCGGCGTCCGAAAACCGGGCTTGGGGTGGATTTAAGGCCTACGGTGTTTGGTGGGGCTGTGGGGTTTATGAGTTCTTTGTGGGCTGTCGAAATCTGCACAAGCCCCTGGCCTTGCCAACGCCCTGAACCCAACGACCTTGGCTAAGGGTTTGGGGGAAGCCGGGCACAGTACACTGAAATTGCAACCCAGCCCATACCACCCCCAGCACCTCACCCACACCCTGAACTCAAGTGAGCCTTGCAAAGGGTTTTAGGTTGGGGTGTTTGCCTGTGGGGCTTTGAGGCCTGAACCTACAACCCAACCGAATGCTTCCAAACACATTAACAGGGTAAATCGTGGCCGTTGCCATTTTGCAACTTAGACATTTTACCGGGTAGAAATTGGACGTTGCCTTTTTCGTGTCGATCGGAAAAACAAGGTCGTTGCCATGAGAAAACGATCCATGTTGCTGCGAACATTGTCGGGGTAATCTGCGGCCGCAAGTGGGTAAAATCAGGTCGCAACCAACATGCCAGGGAAAACTCGGCCGAAGAAGACTAGGGCAAGTAATCCAAAGGCAACGTTCTCAGGGTGGGGAGCCCTGCCTGCCTGGGCTTTAGGGTTTAGTTTAGGGATGCAGGGTTTTGGGTTTTTGGGATTTGGGCCCTAAACCCAAAACCCTAAACCCTAAACCCTAAACCCTTTAGGGTTTAGGGTTTGGTATTCAGGGTTTAGACCGAAGGTATGGCTATGACATTCTTATTGACTCGGAGTACAAGCCCTGGCTGTTGGAGGCTCGCCGGGACGGTGAGGGCTTTCGATCAAGGTCGCTTGAAACAGGGTTTAGGGTTTAGAGTTTAGGGGTTTAGGGGTTTAGGGGTTTAGGGGTTTAGGGGTTTAGGGGTTTAGGGGTTTAGGGGTTTAGGGGTTTAGGGGTTTAGGGGTTTATGCAAGTGGTCCTGCGGACGATCCAGGCGAGAGGCACGCAAAGATCCCTAACGGAGACTTAGGACAAATGAATTATGAATTCGCACGTCGTTTGGTGCGTTGGGATCGTATGTTTCGGTTCCATACTTCAATGGGATGGACAGTCGGGACATCACATGGAATTGCCTGTTTGACAGGAGCGAAGGGGCTTTTCATAGCTGTAGCAAAAGGCCCCTTATCAAAGATAGCAAAAACTTGATGCCTGATTTCGCGTAGCTCCTTTGGAGCAAACTGTACTGACTGTACCGGCTCAGATACTCCTGCAAACCTCAAAGACTGCACGCGACGAAGGTTGAAGTCAAAACCTGCGCGGATGCCAATCGCTTTGACAGCGTGGAGAAAAACTTTCAACTGTGCCCCCAGATTGGGACGACAAAGCTGGAGGCTATGATATTCAGTTTCATGTACCCAGGCAGACGGCACCTTGCAGTCCTTTAATGAAGGTGGGAGAGTTCCCGTTTTCAAGTTGGCTATGTTCACTGGCGTCACCCAGCCGGTGCGCCGAACAAAAAGGAAATACATCTCAACCAGGGACACCGAAGCAGGGGCAATCGACACAATCTGTGAATGTTGAAGGAAATCGTACAGCACTGTCATGAAACGAGGGTTAAGCAACGCGTCGCACATGTCCAGCACCGGCCAATGAAAGGCACAAAGCGGGGCTGCCAGCAAATCCACGGGTTTGGGGTTTGGGGTTTAGGGGTTTAGGGGTTTAGGGGTTTAGGGGTTTAGGGGTTTAGGGGTTAGGGTTTAGGGATTAGGGCTGTAGGGTTTAGGGGTTTAGGGGTGTAGGGTTTAGGGTTTAGGGTTGAGTTATGGAGAGCTTAGGGCCCCGTGGTAGGGTAGTTTGTTTCACCAGAGCCCTTACCTAAATGCTTTACCCTATGAAAACCGCCCCGAACCTTAGGACATGAAGCTAAGCTAAACTCTGCGAACCTGATCGAACTAAGCGCACGCGGGCCGGGACAACACCCGAAAAGCAAAAAAACCCTAAGTCCTGGCGTAGGCGGGTTTAGAGTTTCGGCTTTGGGGCAAGCCCGAGACGCTGTCCCTAAACCCCAAACCCCAAACCCCAAACCCCAAACCCCAAACCCCAAACCCCAAACCCTAAACCCTAAACCCTAAACCCTAAACCCTAAACCGCAGCCAGGTCAACGCATCTCCATCCCTGACAGCCAATACCATGGCTGACTACGTGACTGGGTTGCAACAATTTGGGCCCTCGGCTTCGGTTTGCCTGTTTGGGACCTCCTTCAATGTTAGCACACGCCTCAACGTAAACACTTCAGCCAGAAGTATGGGGTCGTCAACAACAACGACCTGGAAAAAGATGTTGGTTGCCCTGGCTGCTCCTTTGGGGAATGAACAAAGATGTGCAGAGGCCTAGACCAGTAGAGGCGAATGAAAACAGAGCCTAGAACAGCCCCAGACAGGCGACCATCCCAAATAATGGTCCGTAAACACCAAACCTCAAGCCCTAAACCTTAAACCCTCAACCCTCACATGATTCAAAACCCTATAAAGCCGTGCTGACCTTGGCCCATGCCCTTCCACACACCCTTAACTAGTTAATTGGGGGTGAGGGCCTCAGTTTCGGAATAAGGCTTTCAGATCTCAAGGGGCTCAGGATCCCGCAGTTTAGGGTCCAGGATAATTGGCGAGGTTGGCCATCTAGGCCCCCCCCCCCCCAGAGTACGGAGATGCTACCCCGTAGAAGTCTAGGGTGGGTTGTATTTCTGTATGGGTACTGCACATCATATCATGTGTCTGTCCGTGCACTGTATGTCAGATCTCCCCCTCCTCCCCCACAGCCCCGCAAGGAGATGAAGTACGGTCTGCTCGATGACCTGCTAACGTGACTGGGACTGCAATCGATAAGAGCGGAGGATCTGACCTGTGGTCCAGTCCTAAACCCTAAACCCTAAACCCTAAACACATTGCGGTGGAATGTGGGACCTTTCCTTGCAGCAGGTTTCGGGCTTCGGGTACTTAACTCGATAAACAACCTCCCTAAACCCAAAACCCTAAACCCTAACCCCGAAACCCTAAGCCCGAACCCCTAAACCCGAATCCCGAAACTAAACCTTGAAGCCGAAACCCTAATCCCTAAACCCTAAACCCGAAACCCGAAACCCTAAACCCTAAAGGCCCTTAAGGTTGCTCGACATCGAGAAGTACCTCAGCGGGAACGAGCTGCAGATCGGCGGCTTTGACTTGCTCTACAAGGCATGCCGGCAGCTTTGGGGCCGGAGGGGGAGAGGGGGGGTTTAGGGTTTAGGGTTTAGGGTTTAGGGTTTAGGGTTTAGGGTTTAGGGTTTAGGGTTTAGGGTTTAGGGTTTAGGGTTTAGGGTTTAGGGTTTAGGGTTTAGGGTTTAGGGTTTAGGGTTTAGGGTTTAGGGTGTTTTTCCCGGCTGCACTGCACCTCGGGGAGGGGTTCGTCCAGGGTTGACGGTTGTGTGTTGAGCCTTTGGGGATCTGTCTGGGCCCATAGGGCCCAGAAAGGGACCTCTCAATGTCGACATAAACCCCGTAAACCTTACACCCTCACCGTGTGGGTTCAGGGTTCAGGGTCAAGGGTTCTCTCACACCAGTGGATATGGAGAGGGCTGCTAGAGTCGGTGGCACTGCAGGGCATGGGACCGAGGGAAGGAGTTTTCTTTTTTCCCCCCAAGAAAGCAGGGCCTGTCGAATGGTTCTTGTGGGTTTAGGGTTTAGGGTTTAGGGTTTAGGGTTTACGGTTTAGGATTTAGGGTCTTCTTCTTCTTCTTTTGATTGTTGGAGCTCATGAAGGCTCAATACCCCCCCCCCCCTCCGAATCTGCCAAGCGGCTGGGGGCTCTGTGTTTGCGGATTAAAAAGTGGCACTGGGCTTTGGGTTTGGTTTTTAGAGCGTTTAAGGGGCTCTTTAAACCCTACGCCTACACCGACCCTAACCTTAAACCCCAAACCCTAAAGCCTAAGCCCTAAAGAAGCGTTTCGGGCCTAGGGGCTTTGCCTCACCTCGAGGATGGCTACCGCTATTCGCCGCCCGAGGGCTCCATCTTCACGTCCTACTTGGGCCGCGGCTCCCAGGGCTTTGGGGGGGAATCTTTGGCTTAGGGTTTATAGGG